GAGGAGCCCAGAACTGGACACAGGACTCCAGATGGGGCCTCACTAGGGCAGAGCAGAGGGGAAGGAGAACCTCCCTCGCCCTGCTGCCCACACTCCTGCCAGTGCCAGCTGTCAGCACCGCACGGAGCACCCAGCCCACTCCGACGCAGGGTCTCGCTGCCCCGATGTGCGTGGGGAGGCATGGCAGCAGGCACCCACCTCCCAGCAGCCACAGGGAAACTGCCCAGCACAGCAACAGGGGCTCAGCACCGAGGCAGGCTCTCTCCGAAGACGAGAAATGGCAAAGTTAACTCTGCCCCCTTGTGCATCTGCATCACGATACAGGCCGTAATTAGACGATGACATGACTCTCTTCTTGACGAGAGGGGCTAGCGTAGGTGACCTCCCGGTCACCTGCAGCACAGAGCCCCAGGACCCCTCCATGGGCACCCTGTGCGCACCCACGCAGACGGACCCTGTGCTGAGCAGCACAGCGAGGGGCTGCGGGCACTCCCGGGGGTCCCCTCAAACAGACAACGGCATCGAAGCGTCTGCTTACGCCTCTCCAAATCTGCACCCCGAGCCCACCGTAAAAGCAGTTTAAATGGTCTGCTGAGGACAGCGTTACTGTCCGGCTTACGAGCTCAAAAATCACGACTCATCCTGCCAAAACGGTGGGGGTTGTTTCAGAAATCACGTGTTCTCTTCTAAAAACTGGCAAAAGGTGGGGGAATTCTCAGCTCTGCTTCTGATCTTTCCAAGGAGACACTTAATTCTTTCCTTGCAATTCCGGGAGCTTCTTGTTTCTTAGCCCTCTCTGGCTTAGAGTCTTCTGTAATCACAGGCACCCAAGCAGCAGCGCTGCGGGGCAGGGCTGTGACAGCGCCGTGTGGTTTCAGCACAGACGGCCTCTCTCCCTGACACGGCTGACAAAACACTAAATTTCTTCCCTGCTTGCTTTAATTCATAAATTTATGTGCCCTTGATTTGGAAAAACAAAAAAATCAGATGTACGATGGCAGAGTTAAGTAACAACGGCATATTCAGCAAGCACCCGACGACAGGGAGTTCCACGCACGGCACAGGGACGGCAGCACCGCCGGCGAGCACGCGCGGGGACCCCGAGCGCCCGGTGCTGCCGCGGGGCGGGCAGCCCCCCTCC